GCCGCACCCAGAATGCAAGGCACGACCTCAGCACGCATGCACGCATGACCAGCGCTCCCCCCCCCGCATTTTGGCATTTTTTTTTGCCCTCCCCACCCCACCACCACCCCGGAGGCTTCAGGAGCTTCTCTGAAGCCTCCGGAGCCCAAAAAAACGCCCCTACAGGAAAACCGGAAGTTAGGGAACGGACTTCCAGTTTGCTCATAGGGCTGGTTTTAGCCCTCCGGAGCCTTCAGGGGCCTTCCGGAGGCTTCCCTGAAGGCTCTAGAGGACAAAAAATGACCCTACGAGCAAACCGGAAGTCACTTCTGGTTTGTTCGTAGGGCTGTTTTTCATCCTCCAGAGCCTTCAGGGACCTTCAGGAGGCTTTCCTGAAGGCTCTGGAAGCCAAAAAACTGACCTCCAGTTTTTTGGAGGGTTTGGGGGGACTGTTTTCGCCCTCCCCAGGCTCCTATAAAGCCTGGGGAGGGCAAAAAATGGCCTCGAAGAAAGGCTGAAGTCAGCTGGCCAAGGTGGGCATGCATGCTGGCCAGCTGACAGGGCAACGCCTCGCGTGGCTTGACAAATGGCTCTGCGTGCCACCTGTGGCACACATGCCATAAGTTCACCATCCCGAGCATAGATGGCTTGAGAATTCTGGGAGTTGAAGTCCACACATCTTCAAGCTGCGAAGTTTAGTTTAGTTTAGTTTAGTTTAGTTTTAGTTTATTGTCATTGCACATCATGCAATGAAATTAAATGCAATCTTCAGTGTACATTACAACTATAAAAATAAAAATACACACATCCTTCACATGCTATATAATTGAAATTGAAAGCCTGATATTGCAATAATATTGCACTATACCATAGACTTCAATATAGTTACTGCCCGGGATAGAAGCTGTTTTTCAGCCTATTTGTCCTTGTTTTTATTATCCTGTACCATCTGCCAGATGATAATAGTTCAAAAAAGGGGTGCCCAGGATGAGATGGATCTTTTAGGAATGTTTTGAATTTTCTTAAGGCAACGGGAGCTATAAAGGTCTTCCAAAGAGGGGAGAGGGCTACCCACGATCCTCTGGGCAATGACGTTAACCCTCTTGAAGGTCGAGAAACACTGCTAAATAATTTTATGTAATATTATATATAGAAAAAGTAAGGGTTAAAATCTTTTTAACCTTCTGCCTTCATTTTTGGATATTTATCCTCTCATAAAATATTCTACAGGGGATCAGCCACAATGAAAAGCATTGAGATAATCTGTTGCCTTTTCGTCGTCATCTTTGCTTTAGCAGTAAGTACATTACCATTTTTAAAAATAAAAATAAAACAAGGACAATATATTTGGCATTGGCAGCAGGAAATGCGATTTTTTTTTCATCATCCCTCTTTTGCTTTGTTTTTTTTCCAAGGTCGCTCATCCGCTGCCAGACAATGTTTTGGCACAGCTAGAAGCAAAGGAGGTAAGTCAAGCATTATTTCCTTAGATCTCTTGGAAGAAATAATAAAGATTGCAAAATATTACATGGAGAAAAGTCTATCCATTTCTCTTCTCTCCTCCTCCTCTTCCTCCACCTCCTCCAAGCCTATTATTGCAAATAAATCTAGGCCAGGTCAAGACGTGACCCGTCAAAACCGCGGTCCACAAAAGCGCGCTCGACGAAAGCGCGCATTTGACGTCATCACAGCGCTATGAAAAAAATTAA